GAAGGGGTCAGAGTGGACCAAAGAAGAGAGCCCGGTATGAGGGTCCCAGGTCTTAAACAGAGGTCCTGGCTTCCCTGAGGGCATTGTTCCTGGACAACAGTGGGCTGAGGATGACTCCTCTTAGCAAGTATCCTGAGCACCATCTTGCAGCCACGCTGGGAGTACAGACAGTGAGCAGTTGCAGGCACAGAAGAGAAGTTCCCAGCAGATGAAGAAGAGCTCTTCAAAGAGAAATTTTGAGAGGCCTATTATCTAAATGAGGAGACACGGAGGAGCAAGGGGGAGCCGACCTGTCATGTCAATGTCGAGTGGGCAACCGTTTGCATCTCCCATGCCGGAGTGAGTGTCTGGCTAGGAAGGAGACATTCAGAGATGAGGGGGCAGAGGCAAGATCACAGGGGCCTCTGTCCTCTGCCTATCAGGATGTCCATGACTTGAAGGTCTCCTTTGCATGATCATGGCTGTCACCACCCCCCGGACACACACACACTCATCCTGCCTGTGGCTCCCCTCAACTGTATCTTTCCTCCTCTTTGTGTGGGTGAATGGAGAGCTCTGGAGAAGGTGGAGTCTGAGTCTAAGAGGCTGTGAAACTCTCCACGCTTCTCTAAGGAGTTTATTAAAATGTTCCTGTCACCTGGCAAAAGAGACAGAGCCCATCAAGACTTGTAAAGACAAATCCAAATAGAGTTCAGGTGAAAGAAGCAGGAATGAATGTCTTCAGGCCGTCACCTCTTGCCCCCAACCCCAAAGCAGACCTTTAAGCAGGTCCGTAGTGAGAAGATTTGTATGCCCGGTGCCTGCGAGGGCTGCCATGTCATGCTGGTTGTGCCCGTGCAAGAGTGACTGGCCCTGGAGTGAAACCCCACCCACCCTCCATTTGCCAAAATAGTCACGAATGCTGACCTGGAGATACATCAGCCCAGAGAACGGTGTATCTATGTTTTTTCTGATTTGTCTGGCCAGAGGGGGTGCCTTTTTCTAATTCCCGACCCAAGAGGAGCACCTTTTTGTAACCCACACAAAGTCACTTATGGGCTGGCAGCCCTGTTGTGTGCGAATGGCCAGACACAGTCCATCGTTTAATCTGACCTCCCAGAATAGCAGAGTGTGGAAAAGGAGTCAGGAGACCCGGCACGGCTTGTTTGATCTGGAAGCTTCTCGGGCCTGGAATTCTCACCAGAACCTGGAGCTTACGCTGTTCAGAATCTGCCGATTGAGCCCTGTTGTGCTTTCCCTAAGGGTTCCGGGTCCGAGGAGGAAGAGCGGAGGGTGTTCCTTCTTTGCCATGGCCTGGACCTGAAACTTGATTCTAGAGGTTCTCTGTAGCTCACAAACCCAGCCCTGAGCTGGTCTCAAGACCCCAACCTTGAGCCAAGGGTCCACCTGGTTTCCTAGAACTATTTTGAGTACAATGGAAGCCAGTTTCTCCTTAAAAATCCATCAAATTCCCAAAGCTGGCAGTCACCCATTTGGACCCCACCAGGGCCTGATCACCCAACCATCTCCACCAATGAACTGAGTTAGGATGGGCCCAGGCTTCCAAGGGACTGTGGAGCAGCTTTGTTCATTCAGCAAGATTTACTGAGCACCTACTCTGTACCAGGCACTGGTGGGTACTTGGGTACCACACTAAGCCAGTCATACGTGGCCTCTACCTTCAACAAGTCCCCACCCAGATGGAGAGACAGGCAATAGGACACAGAATTACCCCACTGAGTAACAGTAGTGTGGCACACAGAATCCACTTTTTTGAATGAGTGAGTGAATGAAAGATTGAATGAATGAATAAATGAATGAAATAGAGAGTTTTCTGCTATCCTGGCCTGAGGATCCGAGATGGCTTTCTAGAGGAGATGATATGTAACCTGGAGGATGAATAAATTTCACCATGTGAAGTGAGGAAGAGGGGAAGAGTGTTCTAGGAAGAGGAAATGGCATGTGCAAATGGCCTGGGGTTGGGAGAGCAACATATGGTGGCAGAATCAAGAAAACTCTCTCATCAATTGACTTAAGGTTGCGGGGGCCAGAGTGGGGGTGTGTGGCAGAGATGAGGTTTGTGAAGTACAGAGGGCTGAGTTGTAAAGGACATTGTCATCCACATCAAAGAATTCAGATTCATCCAAAGAAACGGGACTTTTAAGCAAGTGGAGAGGTTGGTATTTTCAGGCACCAGAGCAAATGCTTTAAAATTAGGAGTCAAGGCTGGGAACAAGTACCTGGGGAAAGAAAAGCCCAGCCTGGATGCCCCAGGTAGCAAGCCATGAGATAGTGGAAACCGTTGTACATAGGCCCCTTCATGTTGTCTTCCAGCCTGGGTCCCTCCAAGGAGGGTTTCCTGGTTCACTTGTGGCACACTGGCCACCAAGCATTGACCATCTCTGAGACAAGGATTCCACGAGTCCATCCTTGGACCAAGCCCCAGTCTGAGACACGGTCCCAAGATCTAGCTGCCCGGTGTGATGCTTTCCCATTCCCGACAGAGGTGGCGGAAACGCACCTGTCACCACTGCCCTCCCAGAGGCGGGAAGGATATGGCCTCCAGATTGCAATGGGAAGACAAAACGAAGGAGCTGAATGGGAATGTGGCCCTTCCGTTATTTTTAAAGAAGTCTCACTCTAGAAAACTCCACCTGGGCAACCTTATTTTGAGGTCCCTCCTCCCAAAGCAAAGCTGGCCAGCCCACCAAGCAGGTAAGGCGGCAGCAGCGCTGGGTGCAACGCGGTAAAGCCGAACCATCACCTTGTCTGTGCGCAAAGCCTCCTGGGAGAATCCACAAAGGAAGTCCAGCCTCCCCGGCGCCGGGAGCTGACACCCTGAGACGTGGAGTTCTCTCTGTTATTCTCACAGTTTCCGTGTCTCTGTCTCCCCCTCATAACCAGTTGCTGCGAAGGCAAAAATGGCTCCTTAAGAAAGCCCCAAAGTCCCCCTCCTTTAGGCCCGAGGTGCATGGGATCAAGCGCGGGGGAAGCAGGCTCCTGATGGTGAAGCCTGTCTTAATATTTCTGGGGCCTGGGGCAAGAATATAGCAGGAGGCCCATAGACTGTCTAAATGTTTATAAATCAAGCCAGCAAGCTTAAGTGAAATATGTTCTATCTCGGCATATATAAAATACCCTCAAAATGATCTGGAAAGTCAGATTTGAATTTAGAATCTCGGACCCCTCAGCGTACCAAGCCACAAGCTGGCAGTGTGGGAAGAACCTGGCTGGAGGCCCCCGACCCTCCCTCTCTCCTCCCACCTCTTGCACCAGCCAGCCCCGTGATGGACCTCCCGCACATGCGTGTGGACACCTCAGCCCGAACATCCACGTTCTGTCCAAGGAGCCACCCTTGGACCTAGGGGTGTGCACACCTGAAGCATGGTCTGTCCCGGGCGGATAGATCCATGGATGAGCCTGCCCAGACCCTGGAAGGGGGCTCGGGTCATTTAAACAGAGAATTCTGGGATTTCAGGTACCCAAAGAGTGGACTTGGGGGAAGTGGTTTCCAGGTAGTACCTACTTGAACTCACATATTTCTTGTCCCATGAGGATGGTTATTGCTGGAAGATGGCCAGGGCAGGGTCCCTCTTTGCCACAGCTCAACACAGTACTGTTGGTGGGGGCCAGAACCGAACCCACTGTGTCATCCCAGCCATGAGACTGGTCTGAACATTTAAAGAAAACCATCCATTATGCTTCTCAACGCGCCACTGCCTTCCCGAGGGCTGGCTCTCCATCACCTCCTGCACTCCTTCATCCCTCCTAGATTAGCCCCACACAGGATTCTGGGGACCTCCCCTCCTTCCCAGTCACCCCAAAGCCCCATCTCCAAGGCCCTCCCAAAGCTTTGCTGCAGGCACACCCTCCCCGTGTCGCCTTGACGCTGCCACCTTAGAGAGACGCCAACTCTGGCCGCCATTTGCATTTTCCGCAAGGATTTCTTGATCCAGCTTGGGCATCCAGGGACTGACGAGGTTAGTGTTGATGGCTTGAGGTCCCCAGGCAGAAGCGATGCGTCATCTGTCAAGGACACTGGAAAACCAAAAGCTCAAAGGTCAGGGCCAAGTGTGAGGATGTGCAGAAAGGTGTGTGTTTTTTCTTGTCATTTGCGACTCTAACGATCGACTCACGTTGCCCGCTCTTCCCTTTCTCTTACACCTTACCTACCTACTAAAGGAGGAGTTCTTGCTTGGTAAGTGGATATAATCCGCAGACATGAGAGAATTTATTAGAAGCCACTCGAGACCTTAGCTACCTTCTCCAGGGGGAAAAGGACACACACAAATATCCGTAGAGAGCTTTTTTTTCGTTTGTTTTCAGTCAGACTATTTGACTTCCTTTTTTTTTTTTTTTTGTCCTCCCTTTCTTTTCCCCTTTAGTTGAAAACTACCAAAATGTCATTTTGTGACCTTGACTTTATATATTTATATTAAAAAAAAACCTCTCCTCTTTATTTCATTTCTTTTCCCCATGTGATATTTGTTTAGGGTTCTATTCAGGCAACTTTTTCTTTAAAAAAGAAAAAAAGTCAAATTCATTGAGGATTTGGTTGAAGTTTAAAAATTTTGGCTTTATCTCCTTTTTTTAAGTTCCGAGACATATTTTTTTCAGGCCTATAGCCCCATTTCTTTTTCTCCTCCCCTTATTTTTATTATGGTTTTAGGTTAACGGTATTTACACCCCCGTTTCTATTACGTTGTCTCTTTTGTTTGAGTTCATCCATTAGAAATTAAATTTCGTATAATTTCCTTTTTCTTTTGTTTAATCTGGACCGCATGCTTTTTCTCTGCATGATACTTAAATCTTCCAGTTATCCTAGCAGGGGGTAAAAAAATATCTCCTTTCTGTGGTATTCTTTCAGGAATTTGTGCTTTTGTTTTTTGGCGTCTCTGCTTTCCTCTCCTCTCTCTTTCCTTTCGTTACAGTGCATCATGACGGTAAACATTTCTTGGTTATTTAAACCCAGCCCGCAGGCTCAGGGCTCAGCAGTGTCCAATGGGTGTTTTTGCTTTCAGATCACTGGGTCGGGCTCTGCTGCTGACCTCTTTACCAAAACAGCCAGCCCGCTCACCACCTCCCGAGGACGCTCCCAGGAGTATGACTCAGGCAATGACACCTCCTCGCCACCCTCCACGCAAATCAGCTCAGCCAGGTCGCGGGGTCAGGAGAAAGGGAGCCCCAGTGGGGGCCTAAGCAAGAGCCAGGACCTCAACGGCGGCGACACCTCTGATTCAGGGAACTCCTTCACCACCTCCTCACCCCAGAACAAGGGGGCCACTCTGGAGAATCTCTCCCCCACCAGCAGGGGCAGAGAGTCAAGGTCAGTGTACCTGGGCAGGAGGAGGGGGTCCCACCTTAGCTCAACCATCTCAGTCTCTCACCTGAGCCCCGAAGCACCCCTCCCCACCCCAACCTAGGAGTCTTTTATTTGCAAGAGAGGGAAAACTCAACTCAAACTGGCATAATTTTTTTAAAAACCCAAAGATGTTCAGCTTCAGGTACAGCTGGATCCAGGGGCTAAAAAATGTCATTGGTAATCTGTCTTTCCCATTACATCTCTCAGCTCTGGTGCCCCCTCTGTTGGCTTCATTCTCAAGTAGACTTTCCCAAAGCATTAGCAGATATGCCATCCAGCTAACATTCTATCTGCTTAGCCAGCCAATGGAAGGAGAATGTCTCTTTCCCCCAAATTTCAGCAAAATAGCAGGGCAAGTGCTCGTTGGCTCTGCTTGGCGCAGCTTGGGCCATTTGCTCAGCCCTGGACCAACCACTCTGACCCAGAGGAGCCTGTGCTTTTGACTAGAATGTGTCACATGCCACCACTGGAGCAAATGAGAGGGTTCTTCCTACATACATTAAATGTGGGAGAAGTATGGTTCTCTGAAGGAAAAGCCAGGGTACTGATATCAGGAGGAGGAATGGAGGCTGGGCAGGCCAAAAAAGATGCCAATTTTACCAATAATCTCAGGAGAAAGTCTGCCATTAAGTTCATTTTAAGCTGCCGTCACTTAAAAATATACCACAGTGTTTACCCAAATGCATTAAAAATTTATGTCCACACAAAAACTTGCACGTGGATGTTTAGAGCAGCTTTATTCATAATGGCCAAAACTTGGAAGCAACCAAGATGTCCTTCAATAGGAGAATGGATAGATAAACTGTGATCCATCCAGACAACGGAATGTTATCCAGTGCTAAAAAGAAACGAGGTATCAAGCCATGAAAAGACACAGAGGAAACTTACATGCATATTAGAAAGTGAAAGGAGCCAGTCTGAAAAGGCTGCATACTGTATGATTCCAGGTATATGACACTCTGGAAAAGGGAACACTATGCAGACAGTTAAAAGATCAGTGGTGAGGCTGGTCTGATGGCGGAGCGGTTGGGTTTGCTCATTCCACTTCCGTGGCCCGGGGTTCACTGGTTCGGATCCCAGGCACAGACCTATGCACTGCTTGGCAAGCCATGCTGTGGCAGCGTCCCACATATAAAATGGAGGAAGATGGGCACGGATGTTAGCTCAGGGCCAGGCTTCCTCAGCAAAAAGAGGAGGACTGGTAGCAGATTTCAGCTCAGGGCTAATCTTCCTCAAAAAAAAAAAAAAAATATATATATATATATATATATCAGTGGTTCACCTGGGGTTGTAGTGTTGGGGGGGGTGGATGAACAGGTGGGGGACAGATGTTTAGGGCAGTGAAACTATTCCATATACTACAGTGGTGGATACATACTATACATTTGTCAAAACACATTGGGTTCACAAGAGTGAACCCTAATGTAAACTATGGACTTTGGATGATAATGATGTGTTAGTGTAGGTTCATCGATGGTAACAAATGTCCCACTCTGGTGCAGGATGCTGATAGTTGAGGACGCTGGATGTGTGTCAGGATGGGGGGTATATGGGAAATCTCTGTACCTTCCACTCAGTTTTTCTGTAAACCTAAAACTACTCTAAAAAATAAAGTTTACTAACTTAAATATATATGTCAATTATATATGTATAATTTTATACATATATATATGTTATATATATCTATCTCCCACAGACAATGTCAGGTAAAGGGAGATCAAGCTATCCCAGAATGTCGAGACTTCTCGACTTTTTAGCCCATCTTAACACACTTGCTCGATGCAGTTTTCCTGCAGAAAACCTTCCAGGCAGTTGTTTATGAGCCAGTTGTAATTTCACTACTTCATCACTCCCTTACTGTCTCTCACTCAAGAAATCACAGCAAAATGCTAATCACTGAGGATAATGGCACAGTAACAGCTAGTAAAACATGCTGATCACTTACTCTGGACCATTCATTCAGTTACTCCTCCCTCAGCTGGTTATCAGGCAGCCCCTAGATGCCAGCCACTCAGCTTGGTGCTAAAGATATGATCCTTTTCCTCAGGAGCATATAATTAAGATGCAGATGCAGAGATGCAGGAAGGATGGGAAAGATTTGCTGGTGCACGCTGCCATGCTAACAGTGGGGTCCTTCCTTCTTCTGGGGGTGGGGCTCTGCTCTTGTTCACGGGGCCCCAGGTTTCAGAGAGCCAGAGCCTTAGCAGTGAAGCAGTTAAAAGCTGCCTCAAGGACAGAGCACCCTTTGTCCCAGACACTTCGGTCCTGGACAAACAGCTTGGCATTCACACGTAGGCCTGGCCTCTGCTTTGCCTGTCCCAGACATCCCTGGCCTCAGTTCACACCCAAGCTTGGCTGGGAGCCAGGGCTGGGTCAGAGCAAATGTTAGTATCTCCAAGAACAGGCAGTGATGTTCCCAGATGAGAGAGGGGGGACATGTGTCTACTGATAGACTGCAGTGCTATTATGCAGGAAACAACCGAGAATAGTAGTAACAGTAACAACAGCAATCATCATAATGGCAGCGAATATTTGTCAAGCCCTGACTATATGCTAGGTTCTCTGCCAAGTGCTTTCTCTGGATAGTCCTCCTGATATATCAAGGTTTCCTCACAAATCCTTTATGGGATAGGTACTGTTGCAACCCTTTCTTAGCTGATGGGGAAACTGAGGCTCAGAGTGGTTCAGAAACTCGGTTAATAAGGGCCAGCACCAGGAATGAAACACAGATCTGTCTCCAGAACTGGAGCTGAGCAGCGCCTACCAGTTACCTGCTTAAATTAATTTCCTTGGACAGCCAAATTGAATAATTTAGACCCAGCCTTTCATGTTGAAATAGAAATGATCTTTAAATCCACGGCTCTTTGTCATGGCAGCCACGAGCAGAGGGCCGAGTGGAAGAGACATGAGCTCTCAATCAGGGGAAGCACAGACAGTGAGGTGGGGGCTGGCGAGTGGCAGGGCAGTGGGCTTCAGAGCTGGACAGGTCAGAGTTTGAGACTCTGGGTGGCCTCGAGCAAGTAACTAACCCTTCTGAACCTTCTCCAGAAATCAGAGACAGTAATAGCGCCAGCCTCATAAGGTTGTGGAGAGGACTAAATGAGTGATGCTTCTGATCACCCGGGACACTAAGAGGCTGAAAATGTTTATCCCACAGATATTTGTTGATGACCTAGGATATGTATCAGACTGTCCTAAGTGCTGGGATACAGCGTCCAGAGACACATGAGTCCTGTCCCCAAGCTCAGAGTCTGGGGGAGACAACAACTATAAGACCAAGTGAGCCATCTAGGAATGGGGGAAGCCTAGGGGCTGGGGGCTGTGGTAACACACTGGAGGTCACCCGATCACATTTAGGGGGTGTCAAGGAAGGTTTTCCAGAAAAGGTGAGGTCAAACTAAAGCCTGAACCATGAGTAGGAGTCTTCAGGTGAAGAGGGGAGGGAAGAGGGTGCCAGCAGTGAGAATGTTCTAAGGCCTGGAGACAAGGGAGGGAGCAGGGCTAGTCCAGGAGGAACAAGTAGTCCGTGATGGCTGGAGTCAAGAGAGGACAGTGCCAAGAGCTGAGGCTGGAGGGGTGAGCAGAGGCTGGGTCATGATGAGCCTTGACATCCATGTTAACAAGATTTGAACTTGACCCTTGGCCCAATCCAAAGGAACGTGTCCTGACCGAGAACCCAACAGGAGCCCAGCATGGCTCCAGGCAGGGTGGGAATGCAGAAGACAGGATGCTGTCCTTTGGGTGATTTTGAACACGGCTCTGCCCTTCTTTGGGTCTCAGTTCCCCCATCTGCGAAATGGGCTTCACCAAAGTTTCCCACATTTACACGTTTCCCCTTCTTGATTTTTACCATATCCATGTACAACTGGTACTCCTATTTACTTTAATAAACTTATTTTTTTATATAAGGAAACTTATAGTACTATCTTGAATAGAACATTTGTATCACTTACCCTAAACAGAAGGCACCTGTAAAAATACAAGATTAACACGGTGTATTTAATTCTAGTTACAGTTGCCTGCCCAAGGCTCGCAGCCCCAGGCCTGCTCTCTCTCTTTGGGAGATTGCAAGTGTCAAAGAGCTGGTATAAACCCACTAGCACCCACCCTGGGCTTTCTCCTTAACATAATCAGAGGACTGAAAAAGACTTGAAAGGGAATAAATCTGTCACCAAGTGATTTGATGGTATTTACCATCATGCCTAGGCCCAACGACCTAAAATACTCTCCAGGCCCCATGTGGTAAGCATCCCACTCTATCTCTGCTCCTCTTTGTGGCCTGGGAAGTCTTTCTGGAGGTAGTACGATGGGCAAAGGAGGAAAGGGGGTTCTAAGAGCACCCCAGCCTGGTCTAAGGTAGGGCAGTGATGCACCCAGACCAGCCAGCAGGCCACTAACAGGCATTCTCCCCTCTGCAGAGAATCTCAGTCGCCATGCCTGGAGTGCACCGAGGTGAAGAAGTCCAGCCTGGTCCTGGCCACGGCCCGGAGCTCCCCCATGAGAGGGTGCTCCCGCAGCTCCTCCTATGCCAGCACCCGCTCCTCCAGCCACTCCTCCCGATCGCCAAACCCCAGGGCCTCCCCCAGGTACACCCGGAGCCGATCCGCCTCCTCTGGGAAAAGGTGAGTGCAGTTTTGACCTTTGCTCTGTAGCGCTTTCCTCCACTTTCCTCTGTAGGCAGCTAGTTAAGGTAACTGGAGATGTCCTTTGACCCATGCGGGAGAGGAGTCAGACAGACTTGAGTTCGAATGCCTGTCCTATCCATTACTAGCTGGTGGCCTTGGGCCTCAGTTAACCTCTCTGAGCTTCAGTTTCTTCACCTGCAAAATGAAAACAATAATACTTAGCCTAAAGGATTGCACAGAGGACTCTGTGGTGCTTAGACCAGTACTTGGAACAAAGTGAGTATCAGTTAGGATTGTTGCTATTGGAGTGAGGATGAGCTCCTGTGGCTCAGTTATCTTCTGCTGCATAAAAAATTACCTGCAAACTTAGCATCCTTAAACAAGTACTTACTTAGTTCCTGATTCTGTGGATCAGCAGCTTGGGCTGGGCTCAGCTGGGTGGTTCTTCTGTTCTCTCTTGGGTGCATGCATGTGTCTTCTGTCAGCTGGAGGGTTGGCTGGGGGCTAGCTGGTTTGGATGACCCCAGCTGACTCATCTCTGCTCCATGTGGTCTCTCGTCTTGCAGCAGGCTTATCTGGGCTTGTTGAAGTGGTGATGGCAGGGTTCCAAGAGAGAGCAGTAGTGTGCAAGGCCTCTTGAAGCCTTGGCTTGGAACGGGCATGACATCCCTTCTGCCATTCTATTAGCCATAGCAAGTTCCAAGACCAATCCAGTGCAAGGGGTGCTCCTCTTAGTGGGGGGAGCTGCAAAGTCACATGGCAAGGGGCGTGGATACAGGAAAAAGAATCATGCCCCTTTTGGCATTCTACCTCTCAATTCCAATAATCACTGGCAATTGCTCGATTTTCTCATGTGGAATAATGATGCAGCAGAACGTACAGACATGAGATCTCAAGGAACTGGAAGACACCAGCCAGTCTAATCAACCCATGGCTCCTTGGAGCCCAGCTTCCCTCTACAAACGGGAATTTCCAACAGCACTCTGACTGTTGCTCTTTTGCAACCATATAATCAAAAAACAGCTGCTTGCTTGCTTGGTTACTTCAAGACCAGTTCATTCAAAAGAAAGAGACAAGGCAGCTGACAGAAATATTTGATGTGATAGAGTGACATAAACAGAAGAGCAAATCAGGCTAAAAGGGAAATTAAGGGGAGAAATAAAATTAAGTCAAGAGAAAGTGTTAAGTCCTGAAGGCATGTCCTACCATTCTGTATAGCTGCTATGGAGGTGGGCTGCAAATGTGACTCTGAGCTCCCTGGCAGAAAAAGCAAAAAGGGAAATTGTTCCATTAATTTATACATTATTAACAAAAAAGATAAGAATTGGACGATTTGCTCAGAGAGCAGTTATTTCTGATTTTTAAGTCTATGAAAAATGACTCATGTGGCTCCACAGAAAAAGGACACTATGTGATGTAGCAGATGGAAATGACTGACATCCTCTCAAGGTGCCCAAAAACATGTTTTATCTTGACTGTTTCTTATACTGGCTCTCAATGCATAGCCAAAAAGCAAGTTGGCAAGAGCACATTTTCCAGGGGCCATAACTCCCAGGGCACTGAGAGTGAAGGAGCTATTCCTTACCCACACTCCTTACCTCACCCTTGGCAGCATGTAAGAACAGAGTCCCACAGCAACATTTAAGGGGCATGGTTATTAGATCACCCAGAAAGCAGGAAGGGATTAAGGAACATTTAGGTGAGGGCAGGTCATAGCAAGCCTGTTTTTTTAAGTTAAAAAGAAAAGATGGGAAAACTTTAGTGTTTCTGTGAGGGAAAGCTGGCAAAAGCAAAACATGAGAGAGTGTCCCTACTACCCATTCTTGTGCTGATAGCAGACATTGCTAATCCATCACAGTGCTCTTTCCCACTAGGCCCATGGCAGACATTGCTAATCCATCACAGTGCTCTTTCCCATTCTGCCTATAGCAGACATCGCTAATCCATCACAGTGCTCTTTCCCACCGTACACAAACATGACCGCAGAATGCCTCTCAACCTTGGCAGTCACTACGAGGAGATCATAGTCAGCATATGTGAGATGAAAATTATTTGAAAGCCTGACTTTAGGGAGATAAGAATGAAGGGCAGATGTTCCTGGGAAACTGGAAAAACCAAGGCCATAGTTCCCTAAAAGTGGGAGGCCTTAGCAGAGACAGAAGAAGCCTGGAAGTAGCATAGGGTGAGTAATTTGGATGCACAACAAAGTAGTCTAGAAGTCAAGGGCACATTGTAGCCAAACAGACCTGGGTTCAAATCCCTCACCAGCTGAGTGACCTTGAGCAAATTACAGCACGTCTCTGTGCCTCTGTTTCCCCATCTATCGAATGGGACTGATAATGGTACCTAACCCTGTGATGTGCGGAGCATTAAATGAGAGAATGCACATAAAGCATTAGTTCCACGTCTAGCACATAGTAAAACACACGATAATCACAGCAAAGGTTTCCTCTGTGCTGGCTATGTGCCAATATGCTAGGTGATTCACCCTAATTTACTCATGTAATTTACGACTGCATAGGGTAAGTACTATAACTACCCCCATTTTACAGATGAGAAAACACAGGCCCAGAGAAGGGAAATCACCTGCCCGAGGTCACACAGCTAATAAGCGGCCAGGAGAATAAGAATTCAGTAAGAGGAAGTTGTCGACATCATTATGAACCACCTCAAAGGGAGGGGATGTCATCCAGGACAACCCTGGCGAGCTCTGCAGGCTCCTTAGGGGCGGTCTTCTTTCCTCTCCTCCAGGTCCTACTCGCGCTCTCCCAGCTATTCCTCCAAGTCTGGCAAGAGGAGCCCGCCTAGCAGAAGCTCTCGATCCCGCCGCAGCCCCAGCTACTCCCGCTACAGCCCCAGCAGGTACCGGCCCCGCCCCCAGGCGCTGGCCCCGCCCCTCGGGCCAGGCCCCGCCTCCCAGGCACCCTCCCTCGCTGAGATCTGCCTCTCTGGCCCCGCCCCCTCGGGCCAGGCCCCGCCTCCCAGGCCCCTCCCTCGCTGAGATCTGCCTCTCTGGCCCCGCCCCCTCGGGCCAGGCCCCGCCTCCCAGGCCCCTCTTTCGCTGAGGGGACTCTCTGGCCCCACCCCTCAGACCAGGCCCCGCCTCCCAGGCCCCCTCCCTCGCTGAGCTCTGCCTCTCTGGCCCCGCCTCTCCGCCTCGGCCCTGCCGAGCGTCTCCCAAGCCCCGCCCCTATTCTCTTAGGGCAAGCCCTGCCGGGGTAAGGATGGGGAGGAGACTCAGCATTCTTGGAATTCCCTTGTTTTAGCTGGAGTTGCAAGGAGGCCCCAAATCTTGGTGTCCTCAGATACCGCCCCAAACATTCCTACAGCCACACCCCAAAATTGACATTCCCGGCCCTCAGCCTCTTCAGACACCTAATACTACCCCTCATCCTTATGTTCAGAGCCCCCAGTTCTTACTCCTGCACCAGGGCCCGCCTAAATCATATGACCTCCGCAGCAACCGCACCCCATAATGCCCACCCTCAAAGGCTGACACCCCTGCACACGCTGGCCCCGCCCCACAGAACTCACCCCCGCAGACTCTCCCCACAGCCCTGTCCTCCTCCCTCCCGCCTCCCCTGGGGCCCGTGCAGACCCCATCGCTTGCCCCAGAGGGAAAGGGGCACAGGTAAGGAGAGGAAGTGAGTGCTCCTCTCCCTCACGTTCGCACAGTAAGGCCAGGTCGGCCCCAGCTCCCCAGTAACCCCCCGCACCCCTTCAGGGAGCGGGACCCCAAGTACAGTGAGAAGGACTCGCAGCAGCGGGAGCGCGAGCGGGCGCGGCGCAGACGTCGGTCCTACTCGCCCATGCGGAAGCGCCGGAGAGACTCCCCGAGCCACCTGGAGGCGCGGAGGATAACCAGGTCAGGCCAGGAGGCTGGGGGGCCCACTTTCACCCTCACTCCGCCCCGCTTCCCACCTGTTCGGGCCTCAGGCTCTCCCCGTGCCTCCTGGGAGCTGGATTTCAGGATTATGGGAGGCAGGGACCCCCTTTACTCCCAACCATTGATATTTCGTTCTGCTCAAAACCTCAGGGACAAAACAGCCGCCTCGCGGATCCCGCGGGGCCTGCAAGAAGGGGGCGGGTCCGGGGCGGGGCCTAAGCCGGGGTGGGGCGGGGTAGAGTGGGGTGACTGGTGGGGCCAGCCTTGAGGAATCTGGTGTGGCCGAGGGGATGTGGCCGGGGTCTGAGGTTAGGTCTGGGACCGCGTAGGCAAGAGTAAGGTTGGGCCAGGGAATGGGGGCAAAGCCATGGGACAAGGCCTTTGCCTAGGGGTGGAGCCGGGCAGTGGTGACAGACCTCCACTCTCAGAGCTGCAGGGTCAGAAGCTAGGTGGATAGATCCATATGTAGTCATACCCTGAACCAAGTGTGGAGAGGGCAGACAGGATTGTTCAGGTGCCGAAGGGCCTTAGAGGGAGCCCTGGTGAGTGAGGGGAGAGCACTGGATTTCAGTGGAATCCTGGCTGAACCACTTTCCAGGTTACCTGGGAAAGTTTCTTCATCTCCACGAGCTCAGTTCTCACCCATGAAATATTGGAGGAAATAACTCCTAGGAGCATCATGAGGATGAAATGAAACGGGGCAACGAGATGTGAGCGCACTTTGTAAACTCAAATGCACAACACTAGAACCCGCTGTGTATCATTGTTATGGATTGAATGGTCAGACTAGGTGGATAAGGTTTCCTGTAACTGGTAAGGTCTTAGAAGAGAAGCCTGAGGTCCGAGTGGACACAGATTTCTCAGGCCTTGAAAGCTGCGAGAATGGTTGAGTGCTGGCCTAAAATTGGCTCTTGACAATAGGTTGGGCTCTTCCTCCTGTCCCTTTGAGGGCCAGCCACTCAGTCCAGAGACCCACAGGGGAGGGAGAATCCTGGCTGCCCAGTACCTCCTCCCTGGAGATGACCTGGAGGAGGAAAAAGAACTTGTGCCCCAGACAGTAAGACAGAGTGATGGCATCTTCTCAAATGTGCCACAGAACACCCTGCCCCAGGCTGGCACAGAGGAAGGGAGTCCTACACCCACTGCCTGGACCAAAGGTGTCCTTGGGGTGGACTTGGAGGAAGGCTGAGGTAGAGTGGCATTTTCAGAAGACTCTCTGGCTTCCTTAGTCAATCCCAAACAGTCCATCATGATGAACCCATTCAGTGTTTCCCAGACTTCAGTCACCCACGCTTTTGCCTTGTCTCCTTATTAAGTGTACTATTATTTATTTAATTTTCTTTAAATAGATATGCCCTTTTTTAGAGGACCATACATTTATTTCAAAAGGAAACTTGACACACTACAGTAAATGGAAAATCAGCCTCTCGCCACAAATAGAAGGTTCTAGTAAAAGTAAAAATAGCAATCTACGATTAAAGTTTAGATGTAGATTCTGTTGTCAGCTGGAGGCTCTGAGCCCCGGGCTTGCTGTGCTAAAAAGTGAGATTATCACTTTCAAGACGTATCAGCACGAGGCCTCGACCTCCCTGATGTTCTCAGAGCTGCGAGAGAAGTGTAAAGGGAGGGTTTTTTCCTAAGGGGCTGGGGAATGGAAGGATACGGCTTTCCCTTGGGACCAGGCCCGGTGCTCCCTGGGTTGAGGCTGGGAGGAGTCTGACCCTCACGCAAGCTCCCTCTGGTCCCTGCAGTGCCCGGAAACGCCCCATCCCCTACTACCGGCCCAGCCCCTCCTCGTCCAGCAGCCTCAGCAGCACGTCCTCCTGGTACAGCAGCAGCAGCAGCCACTCGGGCAGCCACAGCTACTCCCGGAGCCGGAGCCACGGCCGCAGCCGCAGCCGGAGCAGGACCCGCCTGAGCAGCAGCTCCAGCTCCCGCAGTCCCAGCCCGGGCTCCCGGAGCAGGAGCCGCAGCCGCAGCCGGAGTTACAGCTCCGCAGACAGCTATTCCAGCATGAGGCGCTGAGCACGGGCCCTCCCCTGAGCCAGCTGTCCGCGGGGGCCCCTTTCACTCTGCCAGCCGCCCCCACTCCATGCCCACCCTGCCTTCTCCTTGGTGACAGACATTGAGGGCTCCTGGACCTGTCCTTCCTGCTCTCCTGGGGAGGAGGAAAAGCGGGTACGGGGGCTTTAGCCTCTAGGTCAAGCTGCCAGGAGCCTCCACCAGCATCACCCTGGGGCTCAATTCAGGCCTGGGCATATGGAGAGAAGCACCCTCTGTTGGCACAAGAAGCCTCAAGGTTTTGTAAGAAGCAATGGGTTCATGACTCAAAAGTTTGGGCCTGGCCAGGAAAACGTGGAGAGAGTTCTGGTAACACCCTGCTCCCTAAAGGATGCATACGGAAGGCCAGTGGTAATTCATCCCACCTGCCCTCCTGCCCGCCTTCTCCCCTCATTCAGTCTCATGGCTGCACGTGTGTGGAGTCCCACAGGGGTCGGGGGAGATGAGAGGAGACCGGGCAGTTCAGGCCCAGGAGAGGGGTCAGCCTCTCCCCTCCCCTGACAGGCCAAAGCAAAGGCTCGAAGGCTATTGGGTCCTAGAAAAGGGACATACATGAGCAGGGGATGGGGACATTTCAGTCGGTAGTAGGTGTCGGGAGGTAGGAGATAGACTTTCTGGTCATGAGATAGAAGCAAAAAGGACGGGGTCGGTCCGCTGCTCCCAGTATCTCAGCGTGGTCAGGAAAAGGAGCCAGTAGGTCCTAGCCATGGAGGGGCCACTACATGCTTTACACAAAATGCCCCTTAGCTGTTCACGGGGACCCTGCAACCTCACTGAGAAAGGACGCAGTGGACACTTAGGACAGTTTGGTCTAGAGTCCCACTTCCCAAATTTGCCTCAGCCCCACTAGCTGGCACCAACTTAATTCCACGGGACCATCTGCTGAACATTCCCCAGTGCCATGGCCAGCTGCCAGTCCCCAGCGCCAGCCAGTCTGGCCTTCCCCTCCGGTTGGCGCCTGCCTGCCCCCTCCCCACTGCCCAGACTGCCACACCCTGGATCCTACTCAATGCAGCCGAGCCCCCACCCACCCACCCTCAGCCTAAGCCACCCCCTTTGCCTCTCAGGAATTTTGCCAGGATGGGGCACAGCAGCTCAGGTTTTGGGGGCAAGACCCAAATCCAGAGAGTCTCGGGGGAGAGGCACTTGGATGCTCCATGGCTTGGGCTCCCACTGGCTTCTGTGGTTTCTTGTCAGCTTGGGAAAGCCCCGCCTTCATCTCTGCCCTCACCCCACCTTCCCCCTTCCCGGGGCTGGGCAACCGGGGTAAGTTGATCTCCAACACAAATACCACCAGCTGCTTCACCCACAGAAGGCACTGCGAACAGGGGGCATTAGGGAGAAGATCCTTAAAATAAACTCCTGGGCATCCCCCTCACCAGCTGACTGGCCTTCCGGAGCCTTGTGGGTGAGTTTCAAGTTTGTGGTGGCAACAGCAGCACGACAGGGCATGGAAGGAGAAAGCCGGAGGGGGCAGTTGTCAGCTCTGGATACTGGGGCTGTGGGGAAGCAGGGACCAAACATTCTTTATCCCTCACACCCCACGGAAAACATCCTTTTTCTTGGAATTAGTGACCCCCCCCCCCCCCCCCCGGCAATCTTTCCCATCACATCGCCCCTGGGGCCAGAAACTGCCCTGCACCCACCCAGAAAGTCCTTCTTCCACCAGAAGAGCAGAGCGAGGTGGCCCCAGGCAGCAGTCGAGCAGCTGGCCTTCCCATGATGCCCTCTGGCTCAGGCCTAGGCCCCGCCCACCAAGACTGATGGATGCCAACGCTGTCACCCCAGAAGGCCTGATGGCAGGTGCCTGGGGCAGGGGCAGGTGCCCTGGGGGGGCATGTACAGCAACTGTAAATAACCCTCTTCCCCACCCAGGAACCCAGACTGGACTCCAGTCTCCGTTCGTGGAGACAAGGCCTCCCGGAGCCACAGGACCTCCTTAGCAGAACAGCAGCGGGAGGCCGAAGAGCCTTCCGTTTGGACTGCCTTCCTTCAAGCAACGCTAGGGGACCATTTTGCCTGGGGCTCCTAGCAAACCTTTTATTTATTTTATTTATTTACGTTTATTTATTTATTTATGTGACCTCTCTCAACCGCATGCGGTTGCCATTAGCAGTATTCAACTATTTATTTATTTGTATGGAGAGGTTGTATGTGTGTTTGTGTGTGCGTATGGGAAATGGGGGGACTTCTAAATTATTTCTGCGCGTCTCTTTTTTGTCGTTATGTCTCTATGGATGGGATTTGAGAGGCCCGGATGTGGGTAGGGATGTTGGCCTTTCCCTGAAGGTCAGACTCACAGAGCTCTAAGTCTGGAACATTCTGGAGTTGGCCTGGGAGCACGTTCACCCCGACGTCAGTGAGGTTCAGGCCTGCACCCCAGCCCCCTGCCCACCAGCTGCCTCACTGAGGTATCGGAAAGATGAAAACAGCCAAGAAGCTTGTGAGCTGAGGCGCTGAATTGACTCTCAGAGTCACAGGTTGTGTAGGGTTGCAGCCTAAAGTTGGCATGTTAGACAAAACCTGTACAAGCTGAAATTGCCCATGAAAAGGCGTTAGGGAGACACCTGATGGGAGACCGATGTGCTGTCTCATGGCCAACTGACGTGGGGCTTCTGTTAGTACTTATCGAAGTAGCTGCCTTGTGTTTGGGAGGCCATGGTGGTTGACAGTAACATCTGGCTTAACACTGGGATGGCACTTGGAGCTGATGAGGTGCTCACACCATGAGAGTCAGGCAGGAGAGGAGCTGACAGAGGGACAAGAATAGGCAGCTCTTGATCTCACCCTTGCTCCAGGGCGTGGATTAGCATCTGGGGTCACTCACGGGCTAATGGAGCATACTGAGTTGGTTTCATGTAAGTTACTATGCTTCTGACTCCACTGTAGCTAATTTCTCCCCATCCCCTGAGGTTTCCAGGCTGCTCTCTTCCTTCTGCAGTGGGCACACACTGCCTTGTGAGGAAGTATCAGCTATGCTGGGAGAAACACACAAACCCAAAGCAAAGTCTTTTTCTGTGATCTCTTGCTGTTCTATCAGGAGAGAGCACAAAGCTATTTCTAAAATTGGAAAAAAGAAACAAGATGAAAGGAGCAGCCAGAGGTCCCCTCAGGAAGGTCATTTCTGAGCCCATCTTGGGAACCAGGATCTGGCTCTCTGACCAATGAGCAGTGTCTTCTGGCTGCTGGCCAGAGAGCCCTCCCACCCTTTCTAAAGTTGCTATTGAAATGGCCAGCTCGCCTGGTCCAGCTTTGAGTTTGGTGCGACTTTTGCAACATTTCTGGTTGTTTCCCTGGCAATATGACTTTGCCCCAACCCAAGCAAGGGAGTACCCCTAGCCTGGGGAAAGTTTGCAAGAAGGCTGCTTAAATTGCTTCCTTGGGGGAAATCTCTGTCTCCCCCTCTCACTTGGTGTGTTTCTTTAATTTCCTTTTTTTTCCCCGTCCAAAAATAAAACTCTCGTTGGGGCACTGGTAACCTTGCGAACCAGAACCTCGCAGTCTCTGGCATGGCTGTTTTTCTGCCTCCTTCGCCCTCATGACCTTCTGCTTCCAGGGAAAGAGGCAGATCACCCGAACCCTGCTCGTGGTGAGGACTTACCTTAAAAACAAGCATCCAAAATGGGAGGAGGATGTGGCTTGACGTCAAGCAATAAGCAGCACAAGCCCTTCCACTTTCCTGCTGTGGATATTCACCAGATGAGTGAACCTGCGCAAATTGCCCCCTTTCTCTGGGCCAAAGTTTGCACCTTTGAGAAGTGGAGGCGTTTTTGAGACACAATCCAAAATGTTGACTTGAGACCTGGGCAATTCTTCAAACACTGAATTCACCGAGACGTAGAGAAAAAAGGAAAACATCCTCGAAGGTTTTTAGGAGCAATATGTGAACTCCCTCCAGTTGATTAAGCAAAGCTCATTCAAAGCCCTCACCCAGGAACATTCTAGGTCATCCAGGTGTAACTGCATCCCTATGTCTATTTCTTCCCTTCTTTGAAGGAAACGCAGTCTTTCAGAAGCAAAACAAAATGAAGATGTTTGAAAGACGCAAGGGTCTCAGTCTCAGAGAGCTGCCATCACTTCATTTACTCAGACCCATCCTCTTTCCCAAAAGGCTTTGCTTAAAGAGGCCAAAATCCGGGGTGCTCCCAAAGGTTTGAAAGTACATTTTGGTTCTCAAGTCCCGCTTCCGCCTTGCACTGTATTCTTCTCCACGAATATCCAAAGTAGTCTCACGTGCATGTGTCTTGCTTTCCTTTCCTCTCCAGCTGAATAGAACATTTTGTCTGACTTAAAAAAACCAAAAACCAGGATTCCTCCAAACACGTCCCCTCCTCCGCTGGCCGTGTAGTCCAGCTGCGGAACTCATGCCACAGACGGTGTCATCGAGCAATGCTCCCTTGCACCCTCTTCCTCTCACTTTTGCACCCATGAGCCAATGACACTGATAGAGTTGTCCCCCCTCTGTCTGTGGCTGTTGTTTGGGGCTTTTTTTTTTGTTTTCAGAGGATTTTTTGTTTTTTGTTTCTTTGGTGGTTGTTGATTTGCATTGTAAATACTGTGATGAGGTCCCCTCATCAGAACATGACTTATTTAATAATTTATTTCCTATTTATTAAGTGGTATTGGGAGACGAGAGGGACCATCTCTTCCCCTGAACTGCTGTTGGAAATCGCTCCATCTCCCAGCTCGAGTGCGGCTGTCTGCAGTGGGGGCATTATCGCCCAGGTAATGAGCGCTGGAATCACCGAGCAAATTGGAATTGGCAGAAACGGAGGCTTCAGTCATACAAATTAAGCTCATATGGAACTAAAACACTGGTTATCTCCGGGAAAAGCTCATTTAGATGGAAATTAATTGAGGAATAAAATGCCTGTGCACGAACCAACTTCTATTAAAAAGTCACAACTCCTTGGGAAAAAAAAAAGAGAGAGAGAGAGAAGGAAAGAAAATTGTCATTCCTTTTCTCCGGCCAAGAAGAGCTGGGCCTCATCTTCTAATGAGCTGAGCCAAAGAGACTGGAACAGCATGCATTTATGGTTCTCTTGCCTCTGTGTGTGTGTGTATGTGTGTGTGTGTCTGGAAGAAATGGAGTGGGTCTCAGTTTTATCATCTGTAAAATGGGATTTGGCCTAATTGTTCTTGGCAGGAGGGAGGGAGGGAGTTCTGACTCGGATGCTGTGAGCTCCACACTGTCAGCTGTATGGTCCCCGTGTGTCTTCTGCTGCCTGTACGTTGAAGGGTATCTCCTAAGGAAGGAAATAGAGAACAAGGCATGGGTTTCATTTGCAGGGTGAGGTCGCAGTAGCTGAGTCCTGCAGTCAGATATGGGAGACCTCTAGGTGCTGCCGCCAGTTAATTCTCGTGGCCTGGGTAGAGCCCTCCATATTTACCTTGAACTTCTCACTAAGCCCAGCCGTCCAGGGTCATCAAAGGAGAGCCCAGGAGGGCTTTGTCATGCTCTGCATTTGACCACTGTTTGTTGTGTCAGGCCATTATTTTGTGCAATTGTCCAAACAAGCCAGTGACATAGTCATATTGCCATTTTTCAGATGAGAATACTGAGGCCCCAGGAAGGGGGAACTGATGTGCCCAAGCTCCCTTGAGCTCAGATCTGCCCGACTCCAGGCCCCACGCTCTCTCGGTAGCTCTTTCTTGCTGGGCCTATGCTGTGAGGACTTCTCTTTGTGCTGTATCTTTTCTCTCCCGATTCTCGGCTGTTGCCTCAAGCGGTCATTGGCCAAGGACCTAGGAGAATCCACCACATCAGCCCAGGGGTCTTGGTGCACCTCCAGGTCATTTCTCCATGTCGGGGGCTGCAACTCCCATCTGGAAAGCCCCAAACCAGGGGACCCACCACCAGCCCAGCTCAGCCTGAGTAGGCAGCCTCTGCTGGGAACGCCCACATCAGAGAGGAGGAGCGCCTGTGTCCTCCAGCGTCCTAGGACCCTGTCCTCTGCCCAGTGACACAGTGGCCATGGCTTGTTTGATATCTGGTGTCCACAGCTAAGCATAACCTTCCCGGGGTTTCCAATTTTTCAGCCTGTACGAAACATGTCTCTGTTCTAATAAAAGGTCCCATGGTATGGTGTTCTCGTATGTGGCCCAGCGTCCTCTGTCTATGTTGGGTGGGAGGGAGACAGAGTGGCTAAGGAGCACCTGGTGTATGCCACACATCTTCACAGTGCTCATCTCATTTCTTTAATCTGCAGAACAGACCTGTATGTATATGGGTTTCATATATACATTAATAGCGTCCATGGAGTGCCTTAGGAAACCCTTTCCTAAGCATTTTACATGCGCTCTCTTACTCTGTCTTCACTGCAAACCCTGTGAGGTAGGTTTTAGGATCTCCTTCCTCTGAGGATGGCAGCTGAGGCCCAGAAACACAGAGTCACTTGCCCAAGGCCGTGGAGTGGATGACAGGAGCCAGGCAGGCTGACCCCAGACCCCAGGCCGCTCACTGCTCTGCTCCACAGCACTTCAGCTTATGCAATGAGTAACCAGTTTTTTTGGTGGCATTGTTTTCCTCTGAGGCCTTGATAGCCAGGAGGAAGTTCACTGTAGAGCAGAGATTTGGGAGCTCAGAGACGTGAATTCAAATCTAGACCCTGCCATTGTTAGCCGTGTGGCATGGAGCGAGGATGGCACCCTGTTGGGGCTTGGTTTGCTCACCTGTAAAATGGGGACAGCAACAGCTACCTCCCTGGGCTGCTGCGGGAACTAAATGGAATGGTGGCTTTAAAAAAAAATTGGTGGGGCCAGCCTGGTGGCATGATGGTTAAGTTCGTGTGCTCTGCTTTGGCGGCCCGGGGTTCGAGGTTCTGATCCCAGGCATGGACCTAGCCACTGCTAATCAAGCCATGCTTGTGGCGGCATCCCATATACAAAATAGAGGAAGATGGTCACTGATGTTAGCTCAGGGCTCATCCTCTTCAGCAAAAAGAGGAAAGTTGGCAACAGATGTTAGCTCAAGGCCAATCCTCCTCACAGAAAAAAAAAATTGATGCATGGAAAGCACTCAATGAACATTAGTGAGCATGATTGCTATCAGCAAGGGGAGAAAGATCAAACACAAAACAGGTTACCATGGACACCTCCCCTGGAATCTCCCTTGGGAATCATTTGGATGGGCTCCCCTCCCTGGGGTGACTCCAGTGCTCTCGGTCATCACCACCCACACACACACACCCCAATTTCTTTCTTCCCAAATAGCCTTGGGTAAGGCAACAACCAGTGTCCTCTTCTGAGGCTTCATCAATAAATAATAGTAATAATAATTGCCTTTTATGGATCAATTATCACGTGCCAAGCCCTTTGCATGCATTAACTTATTCCATGGTCGTTAACAACCTCATTTAGCCCCATTAGACAGAGGAGAAAACTGAGGCTCCTAGAGAGAAGACCACATGGCTAGTGGGTATTTGAACCTCGGTCTGTGGGCTCTGGGGCTGTTTCTGTTGCTCCTCTCTACCTCTGAAGGTGTGAGCCCCATCAACTCAGAGCTAGCCCTCCATAAGGGCCCCTGATGACCTTTTCTGGAAAACGTGGCTGCCAGGAGGTTGTCCCTGTGACGCCAGCCACCCCTCAGTGACTCACAGAGGAGGGCTTCGCCCTTCTATCTCCTGCTCTGGCTCCCGGTCACAGGAATCGTTTGTTCTTCCGGCCATTGGTCTGAACAGGGGCCCCACCGCTCCCAGCCTCTGCTGTCCTGGCTTCCGGAAAGAGACCTGCTTCCGGAGATGTCTCTCTTTCAGGCCAGATTGGCAGCTGCCCAGGGATGGAGCGGAGGCAGCGTGCAGCCTCAGGGACACACACAGCCCTTGCACTGGGTGAAGGGAATCAGCCAAGCAGGCAGTGGGGGAACATTGGAAAATAAAACTTCCCCAGAGGCGTGCGGCCCAGACCCCAGCCCTGAGCTTGCTCCCTGGCCTAAGCAAATCAAGCTCTCCCTGAACTCCAGTTCCTCCACCTGGTAAAAGAGGCTGGCTCAGCCCAGTGGTTCTCGATCCTGGCTACACATTAGAGTCACCTGTGAACTTTACATACCCACCAAGCCCGAGTCCCATCCCACCCCAAATACAAAAATTGCCACGAGTGGATGCCAGATAGCAGTGTTTTTAAAGACTTCCTAGGTCATACCAACATGAAAACAGGACTGAGAACCACTGAATTAGATGGCACCTAAAACACCGTCTGCTGTCCAGGCCCTATATCCTATGGTGTGCCACAAGCTGCCACCATGGTAGTAGTAACACCAGCAACAACACCAGCACTTGTATAGGGCCTACTGTGTGCTGGGTGTGGTTCCAAGAGCCTCACGTATATTAATAGAAATCACATACATTATTTCAGCCTCACAACATCATGAGGTGGGTACTATTTTTTTTAACTTTTTTTGTTTTTTAAAGATTTTATGTTTCCTTTTTCTCCCCAAAGCCCCCCAGTTCATAGTTGTATATTTTAGTTGTGGGTCCCTCTAGTTGTGGCACGTGGGACGCCGCCTCAATGTAGCCTGATGAGCAGTGCCATGTCTGCGCCCAGGATCCGAACCAGCGAAACCCTGGGCCGCCAAAGCGGAGCGCGCGAACTTAACCACTCGGCCATGGGGCCAGTCCGAGTGGGTACTATTTTTATGCTTGTTTTACAGATGCAGAAACGGAGGCGCAAACAGGTGGCCTCAGGTCATTAGTGGCACAGCTGGATGCTTAGATGGGGACGAGTCCAAGGGGTCACCTAAAAAAACAGCCTTGGAGGTTCAAGGAGGGCGTCACAGAAGAACTGGTGTCTAGGCCGGTGCCTGGGAAATGAGTAGAGTTGGGAGGGCGGGAAAGGGGGCTCAGGAAGGAGGAGGGAGGGGAGGGCATCCCCGGCAGGAGCGACAGTGTGGGTACAGGACCAGAGGAGTGGCTTCCACCGCCTGCAGGAGGCTCTCCGTCCCGCCTGCCAGCGCGTTCCTTCCACGGTGCTTATTACTGTCCGTAATTAGTCTGTTGACTTGTTTATCGCCCATCTCCAAGAGGACAGACTCGTCTGCCTCATTCATCCCCCATCCCCAAACGCCCAGCAGGGACTGCCACGCCTGGCCCTGGCCGGCTGTCAAGTGATTGAATCTGCCCGGAGTTGCCAGCTCTGCTCCCTTCCAGTTCCCATGCATTTTCGAGCTGGTTAAGTTTTACTTTATGTGGTGGGGTGGGGAGTGTGGCTAGGAGAACGGTGGCAAAGCAGTGACGTGTCCCGCACAGGGACTCTATGGATCTCTCATGCACACACACTCTGCCTACTAGGGGCCGTGTCCCTCCCTGGGAGTGAGAGACACAGCACGGGGCGTGACGCAGGTGGACGTGAGCACCTACCATTTCACCAGCGCCATGCGAGGCTCTGGGGGCGTATTCCCTGGGATTAGACAATGGCAGGATCTTTTAAGGGCAGTGGGGACTTGGGAGTCAGAAAGACCTGAGTTTAAGCTTGACTCTACTACTCTCTAGCTGTGTGTCTATGTGTAAGGGGTCAACCTCTCTGAGCCTCAGGTTCCTCGTCTTTCCAGTGGCGATAATAAAAGTGTCAATCTATAAGGGTGCCATGAAGGTCAGTAGAGGGGATGTGTGTAAAGCTCTTAGCCTAGTGCCTGATTGAGTTAGGATCACCGTTACTGATACTGAAAACTTGGGGGGTGGGCTCAGTTGTCTAGGTAAGCTCATGACAAGTTTCTGGGAGGGTTCCAGGTCACCTTGGCAGAAGGTCAAGCAGCCTCTCTGCTGGCCTCTCATCACCTCTAACACCAGATTCTCAAGAGAGGCACTCCCCATGGCCACCCTCCGTGAGTATCTCCTCCACACAGAAGAATCTAGAGTCTCTGAAGAACTGGGCCTTCTGCCCACGTACGTCCCCACCCCGACATTTCATCGACACTTTCTGCCAAGTAGTTCTAACATCAATCCACTAGTGGAAAGAGGGGATGCCGTGCAGGCGTTTCCACCCAGAGCAACAGCCGTGTCCACTCCCTCTGAATCCTGGCTCCAAGCCATCCTAGGGCTGTGGCCAACCCGTGGCCAGGTGACTCACGGCAGGTTTTCGTTTTTGTCATTTTTTTCCCTTTGCCAATGAAACTCGTCAGATGCTTTCTCCAGGTGGAACACTGGATCCCTTTGACGATCCAACTCTTGCATCCAAAACCAAAATCAACACGACCAACCACATCAAATATACTCATATTGCCAAAGGGGAGAGGGCTGTGTTAGGTACACACACATACGCAGAGATTGTGTTTTCCCCAAACACTATTTCTAGATTAATTAATCTTAAGGGAATCCGTGACCTCCCGTGCGTGGGCGTCATAGGGTCTGTGAATCATCTGAAATCCCACGCAGTTTTTTTGTCTGAAAATATCAGGATTTTGGTGCAGAGAATTATATATTTCCCACCAGTTTTCCAAAGGAATCCACTGGAAATCTTTAGGAATCTTCAGCAGACTCCGTCTTTACTCTGTCAGGAGATGGCGGAGTCTGTAACCGCCTCCCCATAAGCCACTTGCCCTTTCATCCGTAATAATAAAACTCCCCAATTTTAACTGGGTTCAGAGCCACCCGGAATAAAGACTGCATTTCACAGCCTGCCCTGCAGCTGGGTGTGGCCCTGTGACTAATTTTGACCAATGAGATATAGGCAGGATTTTTGCATGACAGCTTCCAGAAATTTCTATGAAAGAGATTTGTCATGAGCTTTTCCTTCTTCTTCATCTCTTTCTCCTTCTTGCTGGCTGGAATGTAGACATGAAGGCTGGAACTCAAATGGCTCCCTTGACGTGGCTTTGGAAATGGAGCCCATGCAGATGGAGCAATGAGATGGAAGGGTCCCAGTCTGTGAGGACTTGGAGCAGGGGCGCCATGCCACCAATGGACAGAGTGTCTCTGGACGTTAATATGAGGAGGAAATAAACTTCTCTCTTCTTTCAGCCAGTTATTTTGACTCTCTGTTGTTCACAGCTAAAGTGAATCCGAACTCACATTCAGGGTGAAACTAAGACTGTCCCCAGATGGACATATCCCTCCTTGTCCCTCTCTACTCATCCTCCCCAGCTCCTCCGACACCCTCCCCCT